CTGTTAGAATAGTGAGGCAGTAGAACAGACTGCCTAGGGGAGTTGTGGACTCTTCATTACTGGAGGTGTTCAAGGAGAAGTTGGACAGTCACTGGTCAGGGATGATCTAGGCATAGTTATGCCTATTTTCTACCATGAGCATTTCCCATGCTTCTGGGGCTTTGCTGGTTGCTCCTGCCCCTTTCCCTTTACTCCCCTCCCCCCTTTTTTTTTCTGCTGTATGTGTCAAGGTGTTTTTAAGCCTCCCCAGAGGCATTGGGTGTTGGTTACAACTGAGGCTGGGTACTTCAACTGGGGTGTGCAGATTCTCCTGCTAGGAGCAAAGCTGGAGGTTCCTGACTAAATGGTCTTGCCCCTCTGCTCAGGGTCAGACCAATTGCCATATATGGGGTCAGGAAGGAATTTTACCCCATGATCAGATTGATATGGACTGTCGGGTTTTCTGCCTTCCTTGATAGCAGAGGGTATGGCCCTCTACCCAGGATCTCTTGAGCATATATTGACAATGGTTTATAGAAGCAGGACATTGGCTGCCATGGTTCCCTTGCTTTACCTGTGACAGGTTAGGGTGTTAGGTCTGTATTGTGTCAGGGTTGAGGGCAGTCTTATGTAGAGGTTAAATTATGGCTGTATGGGATAGTTTGGATAGGGATAATCCTGTCCTAGGCAGGGGGTTTGGACTAGATGACCTCTGGAGGTCCCCTTCCAGACTTACTTCTCTATGACTGTCGAACTTAATTTAAGACATTACTTGTTCTGATACTGGCAAATGAATGACACATTTATCACTTTTTTTTTTAATTCTAAAATCCTTATAGGCAACAGTTTGTAGCTGCAGAGGCACTTTCAGGCTTGTTACTCTCTATCTCAGCTCTTCTCTAAGCCCCATTTATGTAGAATCTGAAAGTTTTCCAGAAATATTCTTTATAGTGTACAAAAATAGGTTAGAAGTGGAAACCTGTCTAGAAAATTACAAGTTATTGCTGTGATTAGCTGTGCAATATGCAATAAAATTGGGGCTGTTCCAATCTCATTCTTGTTTAGGTAAAAGAACCTTTTTATATTTGGCATTGAAAGAAAATGTAACCGGCCAAGGAGTTCAGCAGATATTCAAAGATCTGTTAATGGCATGTAGAGAAAACATGTGTGACATGAATTGAATTAGATGCAGTTTGTTTATGTGGAATTGTAACTTTTTGTTTTTTTCCCCAACTAAAAGTTTGTGTTTATATAAGCTGTGGGATACCCTGGAGATGCACTTTCAAAACCTGAGTAGCAAAAGTCAGTAAGATGGGATGCTGTTGCTTTTCAGGTCAACAGACTGGACTTATCAACTGCCTATGTGGGTTCCAAGTTGTGCTAATATGCCTAGAGAATACTCATTGCAAAATTAGCCTGGCGTGCCTTTTAATCAGAAGAATCTATCTGACAGCTTGATTTACTCCAGCCTAAAGGTTTCCTGCTTTTTCCTATTCTGTAAATAACTAGTTGTGATGTACTAAAGAGAGACTTTTCATAGAATGGAAACTGGTGTTGTTCTCTTATTTTGTAGTCTGGCTCTGGTGGCCCAGTTACATAGGAAACAGCTACTGGTTCCTTGTCATTCACTTCCACCCTACAAAGACGTTTGCTTTAATTTTCTAAACTGAAGGCAACTGTCTGTCCTTTAGGAAGCTCTGTAAAGAGAAAAACAATTCAGAAGGAGTGATCTATAGTTAAAAGTGCTGGAGCAGGACTCAGGAGACCTGGGTTTAGTTTTTAACTCTGCCACAAATTGTGTGTGTTGCTGTTGGAGTTAGGTATATAACTGCCCTATGTTCCTTGAAGTATTTTCTTCTTGTTCTTACTTTTCCTCACATTTTTCCAAGCTGGGAAATAACACCACTCCCTTTCTTTCCCCTTTGTCTTTTTTCTATGTGAGGTCCAACCCAGCATTCATTGTTCTCTTTACATTTGTAAGAGGCCTCTTATTCTCTTTAGTAGAAGATAGTTTTCTAGGGGAAAAAATAGAAAACAGGGTTTGCTGTATAGAGATCTACCCCAGTGCTCACAAAGGGTTTCTCGTTTTCATAGAGTTGATAAGTTTTTTTACAAGGAAATTATGTAGTCATTCAACTCATCATACTGCCTACACTTTTTTGGTATACCAGATGTCTTCAGGAGGGAAGGGGCATTTACTAAATTACTTGACAAAGATGCATTGAAACTTGCCTTTGTCTTTGCTCCCTGTTTTTCTCATATAATAAGGCCAGTTTTTCTCATATACTAAAAGTCTCCAGGAGACAACATTTTATTTTGCAGAAATGGTGTAGCATATCTGCTGTATAGGACAGTTTAGCCTTTTTGCTAAGCGACTCAATGGCCGCATCCAGATGAGCACGGCTCTGCGATATGTGGCACTGCAAACAGCTCTGCAGCACCACATACCGTACATGCAGCTGTTCTCCAAGCTGCAAGGGAGTAGTGTTTGGGGGGATGGGTTGGAGAGGGGGGTTGACCCCTGGATATCCAGGGGTCAAAAAAACCCTGGCAAAAATAAAGCAGAGTGGCATGAGCAGGAGCACCACCTGCTGCTCAAAACCGGAGCCTGGCCAGCTGAAGCCACACTCCGGCTGCCAGCCAGGCTCCAAGTGGCAGGATCACAGCTGCTGCAGCTCCAGGAGGCCCCAGGTAAGGCTGCTGAGGCCATCTCAGTGCTGGCCCCAGCCTTCCCTACCCCACCTGGGGTAACCTGCCACATGCTAGAGGGCACGTGGCACAGGTGTTTCCCAGGGACAATTAGCAGTGGCACAAGGTATGCTGCCACTAGTTGTCCCTGGGGAACCAAATATCCGTGTTCGTGTGGATGTGGCCAATCAAGCTGAACTCTTTCTCCTTTTCAGGGGAATGCTGAATTCAGCCATTTCCACTTGAAATTCCTGCACTCTAGTTCTGGTGTTTGTACTGCTGCTGGCATTGGCTTTCCTGTACTCACCTTATTCTTCAAAGGCCTTATTCTCCAGTCATTGACTTCATGGAAACTTTTTGAGTATACTACTGACTTTTCCATAGTGATTCCTTCCTGTCCTTTTCTGTAAATGAACATTTTTATCGTATAAGATGGGTCAACTGACAGATCTCTCTCAAGGGTATACTGAATTGGGAAGTCAATGAAGCTATACCAATGTGAGGAGAAAAGGGTAGAGGAAAATCACGGCCTGTTTCTGTTGTTACACAATGTGGTGTCAAGTTTAGGATCACAGTGAGCTCATTCTTCACTAGGAAGCTGAATTGTTGTAACTTGTTTTCTGGAACAGGGACATTGGAATCCATGCATGTTTCATTGCAGACCAGGTGGAACTATCTCCATCGTGGTTTCAGGAGGTGTGATTAGGTTTTACTGGAGCAACAGTTCAGTTTCCTGTTTACCAAACTGGCTTCTAGCTAAGTTCATATTTGAACAACTACCAGATGTGTAGAGTGTGGGGGAGTGAGGGGATGTGAATGTAGACATGTGTTCAGAGCATTGATAGAAGATTTTACTCTGAGTCTGTTTCTAGATTTCACTCTATCTGTTTACAAATCCAGAGAATCCAGAGCATAGCTGCTCTGATTGTGGGCCAAAGTGACAACCAGAGACAGGCCTGCACTGGGAGTGCTGTGCGGCTATACTGTCCTTTGTTTTTGATACAAATCACTCTGCCTCATATTATTAATATTATAATCCTGCCAAGACAAGAGCTCAGACAGCAAGGCCCAGTCATTCTCCATATAAAACTCCAGTCCCATTGACTTCTGTGAGATTCCTCACAGAATGATGATGAAGAGTGTTTTGCATTTGAAAGCTTGTCTAGCTTTGTTCCAACTGTGTAGTTGGTCCCATAAAAGATATCACCCCAAACAATTCCATTCCTCATATTAGTAAGATGACATGACCAGACATGACCCAGAAAGAAAGCCAAATTCCATGCTGCCATGTTTTTATCTTGAAGTCCTAATACCCTATTCGCTGCCAAGACTTACACTTAGAGATGACTGATTATATTGCAAAACTTTCCACTTGTCCCTCGAGTGACCTACCTGGATCTAGTTGTGGTATCAGACCTGCTTTTCATCACTGTCCCTAAAGCCAAAACCAAAACTCTCTGCATTCCCCCACACTGAATACTTAATATTGATAATGATCAATAAACAGTAGAATGAATAACAAGTGAGAGTAACCCTTGGGAAGAGAGACCAGAGCTACATACAGGAATACCATCCGTTGTGGAGCTCACTGCAGTGCTGTTACATCACTAAACACTGCACTGCTGTTAAAAGTACCTCTGACCCTCTGTCAGCTCTTTCCCAGTTAAAAGCGTAGATGGAGAGTGCATGGCAGAGGGGCACAGGAGCTCTGTCTCCACAAGGAGAGGCCAGGAATTCTGTAGGAAGTGGGAAGGGAACTGACGTTGGACCTACCCTAACTTGTAGCTCCTACAAATGCTGGTGGACAAGTAGAATAAATCCTCCAGCCTTTTGGGCAATGTTCTGTATATAAAAACTGACTAATTCCTTCATTACTTAAAAACAAAAGGAGCAGTTCCTACATAGCCATAAATAAATTTTCTAGCAAACTGCACTGAGAAATTAATCATGTCAACATGGCTATTAGGAGGGCGCATTTGTGTCATAAAAAAAGAGAAAATGTTAGGTAACTTGAGTATCATTGCACCCACCGTTTTTTTTTTTCCCTGCAGTTTAATCAGAGGTACCAGCATATAAATTCAGAAGGGCAGACTGGCCAATAATGTCATCATATTAAATTGGTTACTACTGGCTGATGTCTGGGTTTATTTCTAGTTACTTTATCTTTTTTTCATTCAATATTTCACTTTAGTAATTCCAAAACTGCCAGAAAGAGTGTTTTGAACCCTTTTGTATAATAGTATGTATTAGCATAAAATTATCTTTTTAATTCTGCTGTACATTATAGTTTTATCTTGAATTAAACCATATTTTTTTCTTTTTTTCCTTTTTAGCATCATAGACAAAGAAGTGTCATTAATGGCAGAAATTGATAAAGTTAAAGAAGAAGCCAGTAAGTATAAAACATAATGGGGAGCTTGTGTGTTTTGGAACAGTTGAGATAATGGTTTTTTTTATTTCTGCAGAAAAATGATATAGTACAGCATTTATTCAAATAAAGACAACATTGATTATAAGATGATACCTCCCTGCCCCCAGTAATTAGATTCTATATATGAAAAAGTTATAAGTTTGTTATAGTTTTCCAGGTATAGAATCTAATTACTGTTTTGGAGGTTTGCCTTGAATTTTCCCCCTCCTACTGTTACAGGAGGGGAAATAAATGTGGGGAGTCAGGTAGCCTCTTTGCTCTCTGCTTCCCTTCAGCAGCCACTTCTTGTATCAGACTCTGCTCTTCATGAGCACACAGAAATGAAAAGCAATTTTAAAAACAATGACCTTGAAATTAAACATGCCTGTGGCAATTTGCATATAGAACCCATACACTTAGTTCATTAGAATTGTTGTGTGCTACTTTTTTTTTTAACTGCTGCAAATTGTAGCACAGGTACTCCATAAACACACTTTTAGGCAGCATTTTGGTACCTACTTATATATAGTACAAACTGGACATGTCTACACAAGATGTTTACTGTGGAGCTGACTAATTAGCTCTGCAGTAAAACATCACCATCTACACGTGCAGTAAACCAACTTCGCCATACAATAGTACTGCCAGACACAAGTACTGTCCTACAGCAGATTTATTTACTCCACCGTGATGTACGTGTAGATGCTGATGAGGCTGGCTGGAGCACAAGGGTGCTACAATGTGGGGCCTGCCTTCCAGCAAGCCCCACTCTGCAGTACCCTCGTGCCCCAGCCAGCCCTTCCACAGCATGTTGAGCCAGGTTGGAGCAGCCCCGGGCTGACAGGCTAACTCCCCAGGGTCCCCTTCCAGCTGGGGCTGCACCGCCCTGGCTCAACATGTTTGGTCTTGGGCGCATATGCAAATGTGGCACCCAGGAGCAATGAACTCCAGCACGAACTGTACCAGCATTGATTACATCACATTAATTGTACATATAGATGTGCTCACTATGCATGAAATTAGTCCAAAGCCAAAGACTTGGAAGTTACCATATAGTTTATTGGACTGGGCCCTAACAGAATCAACAGCATTTCAAGCCATGGTGACCCCACAGTTCAGAACTGCTTAGTTTGTGTGTTTAGTGCAGATACCCCCCACAAAAGGTCCATGGGCTAATTGGCCCCCACTCACGACTCGAACAATATCTTTTATTCAAATGGGCTACAGTAACCTAGCCTTGTGGTAGGTTCCCATCAGCATGCAGCCCAACATGTGTTTTATAGTCCTGCTTAGTGTTGGCTGCATTTAACCAACTTCATAGCTGGTTTCCATTGGTGAACACATGCTAGTTTTTTAGTAGTTTAATAATAGACAGTGTATTTAATGAGGTTACTTTGTATGTGATTATAAGATGAGGGGCTTTTTCCCCCATGCCAATTTGGGGGTGAAAACCTTGTCTTGTATTCAAGCAAATATGATAAATCAATTCAGTTAGTAGTACTACAGCATCTTTCATAGTATGCAAGGTCAGTTGTTTTGCACTGCTGCCTGAACAGTTTCTGTCTATAAGAAATGTTCGACAAAGTTTTATAGTCTTGTTTCCCTGTAAATTCAGCTAGCGTGTTATCATGCAATAGTCTATAATGTAGATATGTCAGAGTCCAGAGTTGGCTATGCAGTTTCTTTAGCACAGGTCTTTGGTTGTTCCACATAGCCGTAAAACCACTCTTTTGCTTTGTAACTCATTCTCCTTTCCATACACTTGCGTGTGATGACAGAAGACTTTGCAGAGTATTTTTCATTCATATGGCTCCTGTCATTCTGAAGGACCCAAGACATTTTATAGCCAAAACACTAAGTCCAACAAACCTATAATGTGTGGATGACCCACAGATGACTGGGGAGGCCACAGTTTGTGGTTGGTGGCGGCAGGGTGGCAAGCAGTGATTGCACACACAAGCTGGCAGCAGCATTGGGGTGAGGGGTGGGGATGGCGAGCAGTGAATACCTGCAGAAGCCAGTGGCAGCAAGGTGAGTGGCGACCCCCAGCAGAGGACAGCAGCAGCCAATCTTAGGGAGGGCACAGTGTAAACACATTGCATTGTAGAACAAGCAACTAACCAGCATCACACACAGGATTGTAGAGGAGAGGTAAACGTTGGATAAGCAAAGGCAAAAACATTTTTTTGAAGATTTTGATGGGACTTGTAAGGGCTCTGGGGAACAGACAGAATCATAGTTTTTAAAATATGGTTCTCTTCTGAAAAGCAATTGTGAATATGGTGTCTTCTTATTCAACAGACCTGCCTCCTGTGCATATTCTGAAAAGTCTACAGATTTTGATGAGAAAAATATTTTTTATTGCCTCTATCTCTTACTAGTATGCAGAGCCAACACGTGTAAGAGGGGGAGAGCTGGAATCTCCTTCAAGTACTTGCCTACATAAACACTCTCACTTCTGGGTGTGTCCCACACTCTGAGCTGCTATTAGACACATTTTGCTTTACCAATATGCCTAATGGCTGTGTCCAGACAAGTGTGGCTGTGCAGTATGTGGCACCACATACCGCACATTCTCGTGTTTCCCACACTGCTGCCTTGCAGCATGGGAAGGGGAGGGGTTTGACCCCAGGAAATTCTAGGGTCAAAAAAAGCTGCACAAAGAAAAAGTGGGGTAGCACACATGGCTGCAGTGCACACCACCCAAAATGAGAGCCTGGCCTGCTAGATCCACGCTCCAGCTGCTGGCTGGCTCCAAGCTGCAAGAGTGCCACAGTTGCAGCTTCCCCAGCCCCCAGGACTCCAGGTAAGGCTGCTGGAGCCAGCATAGTTGCTGGTCCCAGCCTTCCCTACCCCACCTGGGTAACTTGCTGTGGGCCAGAGGTTGCATGGCACGGGTGTTCCCCAGGGACAAAGTGTGTCGCTGCTTCTTGTCTCTGGGGAACCAACTATCCACACTTGTCTGGATGCAGCCAATGTGCCCTTAATGGAAGAGGCAACAAAAATATTTTTATCATCAAAATCTGTTGATGCATGTACAGCTTCAGAATATCATCAAAATCTGTAGATGCATCTGGAGGTAGATCTGCATTTGGGAAGCAGATCTGCTAAATAAAAAGACACTATATTCACAGTCACTTTTCAGAAGAGAACCATATTTTAAAAACTGAGATTCTGTCCATTTCGCAAAGTCCTTCTCTTCCTTGTGCCCTCTAAAACATGGGGATAAAAGTGTGTACGTCCTTGGTTTCTCTCAACTGCCTGGCTAGAGATGGAGCATTCTTTTCTTTCTGTTCCTTGTAGCACTGACCCATCCTGGTCTATTTACCCCTCTCAGCATCTTCACTATCTTGGAAAAAGTTTTCTGAAATTTTTTTTACCCCTCTATTCTTTTTCTGTTTTCTTTGAACAGGTTAGACTGTAGCTCTTAAGCTCTGACTTGGCACCCTTTTCCCCTGCCCTCACCTTTAGTGGTGTCAAGCCACAAAGCACTGCCATGTTGTAGACAACAGTGCTAAAAATAATAATAATTTTAAAACTAATATTTTTTCAGTGGAACAGATACTTTTCCTACACTTAGATAATGGCTTTGCCCAAAGCCCATCATTTTTCAGGCTTCAGACTGTGTCCTTCATGCAGCAGCCTCATTCTTCCAATAGCCATACAAAATATCTTTTTTGTTTAGGAAGAGAACATATCCCTGAAATTTGCTCTGTTTGCCATTTATTTGAATCTGGAATGCACAAGGCAGAAGAACAAGTTTCAGTGATTTCTCCTCATTAAATCCCTGGGTTTCATGTCAGACCCAAAATTGAAGAGTTTGGCTCAGCACTGTACTCCACCTAGCACCATGAAGGCCATCTTTGCACTCAATGCTGAAGGGACTAACAACACATACAGACTTGTTCAAAACCTAGAAGCAGCTTACAAACCAGAGACCGTGTAAGTTGCTCTCTTTGTTGCAGAATCCAGGCATGATAATTCTTTACCTCCTAAGAACTGTACTGAAGGAAAGAAAAACATGGAGCCTTGGTCTGAAAGAGTGACAGCACAGACCCACATAGACATGGGAACACAGACACCAACACTGCAATCAACCCCAAGGCTTGTTGGCATTGCAGAATTATAGCAAAGGCATAGAAGGACCTGGAACCTGACATGTCAGCAAGTTGGGGTGTAAGACTCCAAAGAAGCATGAGTTATGTTCTGCCTCCCTTTAGAGCTGATTCTCCAGCTCTCCTGTAGGGAGATGTAGGGGATACACCGGTGCTGATGGACTTACCAGCACCTAATCTACCTATATTGGTGATTCTCAAGTGGGATTAGGAGTGCTGCAAGACCCTTTCAAGGATGTGGTGCTAGCAACACCCCCACCACAGCCAAGTGAAACTGTCCCACATGCCTCTGTATCCAAGAGACACACACAAGGCCAGACCAGGAAGGCATGGCTTCTTCACTATCTCTGGCAGAACTTCCTTGCCCCTTGGCAGCAATCAGGTCTGCCTCATAGAGCCACACTATCTTCTACAGCCAGATTACCTCTTATCTCTGTCATTGAGGTAAGAATACATGTAGAAAAAGAACAGTAGCATTCCAAGCAGTTAACAAACTAGGTGCTGTGGGGCAGTGGCTACTGGTCTACCCTCCCATGCCAATATGGTCAGTCAGCAGCCTTCAACTCAGAGAGACTATAATCAGTGTCCCCAGCTTATCCCAAGAGACACTTTGGATTCTGCCTGAATTGCCATGAGTGGTTGAGTACAAAGTCTGGAACAGGAGATTCCCTAGATCCCTCTTCCTCTGAGGTGGCTGCAATCCAGTCTGTGTGCTATCCATCAGAGAACATAGT